ATGCGGTGTAGACCTGCTATTCTTCTCGCTCGGACATGGAGTTATTAATCTGTCGCTTTCTGTTTATCGGATTATCGATTTATGCGTTAAATGGTCATGGGGTCCAGGAGTGTCTGTCGCTGGAACATTTCCAGATACAACGTTCTTTGTTCTGTTGTTTATTAGATTTTTATTTATGCTGAAGCCAGTCACGAGACAACACTGAAGTTCTGTTGCTTAAATTAGTCCAGATGCAGGGGTTAGTTATTGCTGTCTCAGTGCTTGCAGACCCAGGTGGTGGTTTTGTGAATCACACTCTTCCTGTGTTTCTTGCAAAGATAAGCCGAGCGGGACAGGAACTATTTGAGACAATTGGCGCCTGAGCTGACCACGGTTCAGTTTTACGACTCGCACTTGAGAGGTTGAGAGGAGACTCCTTAGCTTCTGCTTAAGGAATGTTCTGTTCTGTTCAAAGGAGATTCTACTAATAATAATGCAATAAATCTTAAAATGCACACTTTTGAAAATAGACTCTTATAACTTGATATGCTCAGTGTTTGCAGTAAAATAGTTTTTTGTGGAACAAAAAGGGAGGATAAAATGATTTTGGTTAATATTTTGTCAGTACAGCTTGCGTTGAAGCCAGCACTGTGCTTTAATGGTGTGCTGATGCAGTAAATGATGTTTAAAGCTGATCTTCACGTTTGTCCTCCAGGAGCTGCTAGAGATGAAGCAGAGGTTGTCATCAGAACTCCTGCAGCATCTGAAGAAGAAGGCCGTCAGTATCCTGACGTACTATCAGCCGGAGTGCGGTGAACTGATCGCCGCTGCTGAATGATGAATGATAGTTATTTTCTGGGAACCAAATAAAAAGCGTGTATCTTTCTTTACTGCGCGCCTCTGATCTGCGCGCGCTTCTCCAGTCCTCCACAGAAAGGCGCGTAATTCAAAAATTAACGGTCGTTTGGTTTTACTGACTAACATTCGTTTATTGCTCTCTTTATTGAGTAATTACTTATTATTAATACATATCCGAGAGTAAATATTGTGATTTCGGATAGATTTGACTCGTCTAATTGAAGAGAACATGATGTTAACCAGAAGTGTTTGTTTCCTGACTAAAGGAGAAGCAAGTCCTCATTCAGTGGTAAGACATTAATCTAATGTTATTCTAGTTAAAGTCAAACACACGAACGCCCCGAGATCAAGAGCTTTCTCCAGGATGCAGGTACTTTGAAAACACACTATATTAAATAACTACTCATATGAAAGATGGCCTTCCGCCAACTTTTTTATTTTTGACAAGTTAAAAATTATATTTTTATTTAAAACAATAAGACCATAGAGCCTCCTTATTAAGTGATTTTTTTAAAGGTCCTTTATTAAAATTAATGTCATCATTAAATCTGTTGAGCAGAAGAGATCAGAGCCAGAGCTGTGTGTCATATTTATATTGTGTTTTTGTTTTATATTAGGTATTCATGTTATTATGGTATTCATATTAGTTATTATGGCAGACAGTCTATGAAAGAACTTTAGTTTATGGTTTCTGTATCAACATAGTAAAAATGAAAAGATCACAATTTTAAAGGGGTCATATGATGCTGCTAAAAATAACATTATTTTGAAATGACCCCTTTAATCAAATTTAATATAAATACAGTAATTCAAAGTATTATTTGTTATAGTTCAGTTCATCAGAAGAGATCAGAACCAGAGCCCAGAAATATTATGGTGTTTTATCATGTGATTATTTCAGTTTTTCATCTGATATTGTAACATTTGCTCACACATAGAAACACGTCTATGAAAGTACTTAGTGTACCTTTAATCTCTCTCTGTTATAGTTCAGTTCACCAGAAGAAATCAGAACCAGAGCACAGCTGTGTGTCTATGAAGAGTGACGCTTCTTTGGATCCTCCAGTTAATTTTAAGAGAGATGACACACGGTTCAACCTCAAGTATTATATTTTTGTAAAAGATTTGATTATAGTAGAATATTATAAATTAAACTGTCGTAATTACACAGCACTATAATAAATAAATATGAGCAGAAGTCTGGCTAGGAAATGCAGTAAATCTAATGACAACGAGCAGATATAGAGAACAGAGTAGAATTATTTAATTATTTACATTTATTTAAATGGTGTTTATTTTTTACAGTTGTGACCTTGAGCAAGTGCATTTTTAATAAAGTCACAACTGTTATTAAGGTCATGAGAAAAATGTCACCAATGTCAGAGTGTTTGATTCTTGATTCAAGGTCAATCCTGCCACCCAGATCAGAAACAAAACCCGTCTGTGAGAAATAGGACCAGTCTATGAATCAACCACAAGACAGCACGTATTCTGGTGTGAGGTAAACTGTGGGATTTAATGCAGTGCATCATCACACATTACTCAAATACATCATTAATAACTGACACATTTCATAAACCCTATGATATGTTCAGTGTCTCATTACACAGAAAACAAAAATTATTTTTTGTTCCGTACATTTACCTCTGTAACTCATGTAATAATGTAGTATTTTAATTTTCCAGGCATGAAGTCCTCAACACGTTTAGATCAAATCTGATGAAGAAGTTTGAGCGTCTGTATGAGGGAACAGCGACGCAGCACAACAGAAATGTGTTTGACCAAATCACGAAACAGAGTTTGTGGTCTAAAGTGAAGGACTGGTTTCAACTCAATTCATCAAAACAGGTTTCATTATCTGAGCTGCATCAGAGAGCTGTGGATGAGGCTCTACAGAGTAAAAATGGACATCTGGATCTTTTCCTGCGGTTCCTTCTGGGTCTGTCAGTGGAGTCTCATCAGATTCTCTTACAAGGACTAATGAAACAGAAAAGAAGCAGCTCTGACAGCAAGAGTTTTGTCTTGATAAGTTTGTTGAAGAACAGAATAATCCGGAAAAAATATGAAAGTTCTTCAGAAGTTGCTGCCTGTGATTAAAGAGTCCAGATCAGTTCAGTAAGTATCACTGAGAACAATCACTTTACTGTTAAAACATTAAGAAAATCAAAGTTAAAAGCTCATAAATCTTCAGTGCTGTAGCTATTATTTTAGTGGTCAGCATTTTGATGTGTTTTCAATACAGAGACGCTGTAAAAGATTTCTTCAGGCATTCAAACAAAGGCAGAGAAGTTGCATATAAATAATTCAGGTTTTCCAGTTAAAAATGTCAAAATTAACATAGAGAAGAAATTTAAATATTTCTCATCTGGCATAAAAGAGCAAGCAGAAATCAAGAGCAACCAAACAAGTGGAGAAGCAGCTCATATATACAGCAGCTCAAATCTCCTCAAATCTGATGAATCAGTTAATTGAGCAAAACAGCAGCATACTTGAACACACACTTTTGAAGACAACAATTGATATCTACAAGGTAGTGTAACGGGGTGAAGAATCACACGACAAGTAATCTCAATCAATACCCCGGAGGGTGGATTTATTGGGGTGATGGGTGCTAGTGAGAAAGGTCCAGGTAGGTGCTCCGGTGCCGTGAGTGCTCTCTTCCGTCTTCCCAGTGCAGAGGGTCCGTGCAGTGCTCCTGTGGGGCTGGTCGGTCACACGCTGCTGTCTGTGGGAAAAATGAGAGGGCGAGTTAGTGCTCAGTCTCATGGAGGAATCTCCTAGATGGCAGGGCTTGCGTGGCTTATGTAGCCGCCGCCTGATGAGGTGCAGCTGTGACCGATCAGCCTGTGATGATGATGGCCAGGTGCTCCTCGCTTGTTTCCAGGGCGACGCTGATGAAGCTTCGGGACGCTCGTCACAGTAGTTATTAACTATATTTTTTGGTTATTTATATTTTGAGTTTTTTAATTTTACAGAAGGGCATCTGGAATGAGAAGAGCGAGACTCAGACTTACATTAAAACACACGAACTATCTGTCAGTTCACAGTCCAGCATGAGGATTAGTTTTAATCATGTTCAACCAGTTAAAGTTAAAGTTAAATGTATTAATACAATAATTACATTTTTACACAATTACAATACAATTACAATTTCCTCAATTAATAGATAAATGGTCATTTAATCCAGTCTTAACATTTTTTATTTGTGTTTTTATTTTTTATTTGCCCGTGCAACTTGGATAAATTGACATTTAGAAATGCATGTGCATTTTTTTTCTCATGGTATGAATTAATTAAATTATAATGGAATTGCAAGTTTTTTGATTGCTTTTTTTGATAGCTGTTTGATAGTGTTTCACATGAATGATTTTCATCTCTCTACAGGTTGAGAGATTGTGGCGTCACAGATGAAGGTTGTGCTGCTCTGGCTTCAGCTCTGAGATCAAACCCCTCATACCTGAGAGAACTGGATCTGTCGTGGAATAAACTAGGAGATTCTGGTATGAACCTGCTCTCTGCTGGACTGGATGATCCTTGCTGTAAACTGAAGAAACTGGTAAAATCATATATGACTCACAATGTCATTTAAGACAGATTTTGCATAAAATACAGATACAGTGCATATAATAAATATAATGTATCCTGCTTGAATGAAACTTTGGATGTTTTATGATCATGTTTTGTGATATGTGACATTTTAGATCTCAGTCCAATGATCCATCAAACATACAGGTGCATCTCAATAAATTAGAATGTCGTGGAAAAGTTCATTTATTTCAGTAATTCAACTCAAATTGTGAAACTCGTGTATTAAATAAATGCAATGCACACAGACTGAAGTAGTTTAAGTATTTGGTTCTTTTAATTGTGATGATTTTGGCTCACATTTAACAAAAACCCACCAATTCACTATCTCAACAAATTAGAATACTTCATAAGACCAATAAAAAAAACATTTTTAGTGAATTGTTGGCCTTCTGGAAAGTATGTTCATTTACTGTACATGTACTCAATACTTGGTAGGGGCTCCTTTTGCTTTAATTACTGCCTCAATTCGGCGTGGCATGGAGGTGATCAGTTTGTGGCACTGCTGAGGTGGTATGGAAGCCCAGGTTTCTTTGACAGTGGCCTTCAGCTCATCTGCATTTTTTGGTCTCTTGTTTCTCATTTTCCTCTTGACAATAATATATTTCCAGTCAAGCACACCAACACCATGGTCATTTAACCAACTTTTGGTGCTTTTGGCAGTGTGGGCAGGTGCCAAATCCTGCTGGAAAATGAAATATCAGCATCTGGTGTGACAGATGAAGGTTGTGCTGCTCTGGCTTCAGCTCTGAGATCAAACCCCTCACACCTGAGAGAACTGAATCTGTCTAGGAATAAACTAGGAGATTCAGTGAAGCTGCTTTCTGGTGTACTACAGGATCCTCACTGTAAACTGGAGAAACTGTGGTAAGATCATATATGACTCACACTGTAAAGTATACTGTATGTGACGTGCAAAAAAAAAAAAAAAAAAAAAAAACCAAAAA